AAATTGGGAATATGGGTTTAATAAGTTCGTTTAAGTTGCTAGTATCCAATTACAAGGTGTAGGTATCTAATGATTGTCACGAAATGTACATTTATGTAGATTCTACGCATAAAGAAATTCCGGAACGTTTGGCAAGTAAGATCGATCAAGGGAAAGATAAGAGATTGGAATTGGCTAGTGAGGCCAGGTGAGTGCATATTAGTCAGTTGATGGTGCTAAATGGAAACAAGACTTGCGACAAGTCTATTTCCTATGTTAGAATGCATGAATATATGATTATACGTATATGAACGACATGAATTGTATGCAGGCATGAATATATGTGTTGACATGCTTTTGAATGTAATGTTATGAGAAGTATGTGCTATATAAGGTATATATATATATATACATATGTGAAACTGAACTATGTGACTGCATGAGAAAGATATAAGCCATATGACATGATATAGGTGAACATGAGAAAGCAAAGTATGAGATATAAACTATGTGATCATAGTAAAATATAATTATATTTTTACATGATAAGTGAAATAAAATGGATAATATTGATCTATAGGAGGAAGTGAAAATAGTACACCAACTAGGGGATTTGAACATAAATGATAAGATGAACGTATAAGATAAGCTAGATGGGAAAGATTCATAGGTTCAAATAAAACTATAACACATGGGTTGAATGATGGAAATTTGTGAAGTTATAGGAGAAGATTATAAGAGCAATATGAAATTGAATTAAGTAACAGATTAGATTATATATAGAAATAATAGAAGTGAAATATGTTATAAGTCTGCCCTAGATAATACGAAATATAAGAGTGCTATATGATTTATATTAGGATAATCTTGAGGATATATATATATATATATATATATATATATATATATATATATATATATATATATATATATATATATATATATAGATATGAAATGAAATGAAATGAGTTATATGAATACCCAATTATGTGATGAAATGGTGAATTACCTGAACATGTGAATATATATATAGATGTTTAATAGAAGGCATACGATTAAGATATAAGCAATGTGACAATAAATATATGTGCTTTAAGTGATATGACTTATAAGTATTTCTATTATAATGTTACATGATATGTTATGTATGTTAAAGGAATTATGGTATAAGAATTGATAGGAAATATATATATGTGAAAACAAGTATATGTTACGAGACAAAACTTATGACTATAAGCTACGGAAAAGTGTTCTAGGTGTTTCGATATATTATATGAAGTATATGATCTTATGCGAACAAGATATGATAAGTATGTTTATATGAATAAAGGTGATTGGGTGAGAAATGATAGAAATTATATGAAAACATGACATATGTGACATATAAATTATATGGAAATGATCTACGGGTAAATGAACTACGTGACTATGTGATCATATGAAAAGAAACTATGTGATACGTGATATGTGAAAGTGAATTACAAGTGTATGTGTATATTTGAAATGAAATAAATGATAACGCCCATGTTATGTGTCATGAGAGCTAGGGGTATAGTTGGCATGCCAAGAGTCGAGGGTTTATTCGGTTCTTTAGGACATATGTATATCCTTTGGAACCTGTGTGAAGTCTTGAAAGACACATACTTGATCCATAGTATATGTATATGATTCTTAAGGAATTCTACGTGGTCCTTAGGGACATCATTCTACGGGCACTACGGTGCAATTCTACGGGCACTACGGTGCAATTCTACGGGCACTTCGGTGCATTTATACGAGCTGTGGTGACAGCATAGTGCACAACCTCTATAGACTCACATATCGATAGTTCTCACATATATACATGGGTTAATCCAGAGATATGAACAAATATAAGTTAGTGATATGATGAATGCTATAGAAATTATATGATGTTGTGTGTATAGTGTTTGATTGAAAAAGTATGTGATTATATGATAACATGTGAATGATGAATTATGTGTATGTATGAATTTACTGCGATTAATCTGATATGATTCTATACGATATGAAAAATGCCTGGAATTGCTATAACATGATAGAACAGAACATGCATGTATCAATATATATGTTTTAAAGTGCATTATAAGTTGTTATGCCTCACTAAGTCTTCGACTTAGCGTGTGATTGTTTCACACGTAGGTTTCGAGAAGAGTAAGGAGTGATGCGGAGCAAGACAGGTCAGTTTTCCTTACCAAAAGATCAGATCAGAAATATTTGACAAAGTATGTTTTTGGTTATGTATAAAGTGTTGGCATGTAATAAATCATTAAGTCTGAGCACTCTGATAAAGTCTGTATTTTATTTTTAAATAAAGTTTTAAATTTCCCGGGATTTTTCTTGAGAGTCAAGGTTTTAAAAGTCAATGTGACACTTCGGACTCGTATCCGGGTCGGATACGGGTTGGGGGGTGTTACAGACCCAAAGTTCTGATACTCTTTCCCATAAACTCACAAATTTGCCCAAAACGAAGAACAAATATCGATCCTCTACCTGCAGAAGTCATAAAACAAGTACTAAAAGCTCTATTTTTCAATCCCAAAGACCTTAGTGAGGTCCCCAACCATGCTTAAAGTTTGATGTGAATACAAGGAGCATAAATAAGACTTTATACCATGCTTATAACATTAAATGAATAATCTACCATGGAAATTGCCAAACATGCTTTAAACTTAACTTTCTAACACATCTAAACTTTCCATGATCTACACTTGGTATGAGAAAGCTATAAGTGTGTTACCTTACTGCTTTGGCTGCTAAAACACCTCTCGAATCAACTTGGATTCACCCTACCTTCAAGAAAAAACCCATTTTGAAAACTAATTCTAAAATTTACAAAATGGAGCTTAAAACAAAGCTTGAAGGATGGAGAGAAACATTCTTACCTTGGCTACAACAAAATAAGCTTGAATCCTTAAAACTTTGCACTTAAGAAAGGAAGAAGAAGAAGAGAAGAGTGTTTGGTGAGAAAATGATGGGGTGGTTCACGTAACCATGATATAAAAAGGGAAGGGTTTTCATCTTTAAAATAATAAAGGAAAAATTGCACTATTAGTCCCTTTACTTTCTCTTACATAAAAACACTAATCACCTATTAGCCAAATCTTTTGAGCCCAACACAAGCCCACTGACATAAAATTGGTTTAGCTATTTTATAAGGTCCTTCAGGCTCAACTTTGGGTCTCGAGTTGACCCGAACGACTAACTCGAGATTCGGGGTGTTACATCTATGACCTGTAAATCACAGAATGCTCGTAGTTAACTTGTATGATTTCATGAAACATATGAGCATGTTCATGGTAGATTCAATTTATGACGTTATTCAGCATGAAAAATAACCTATAATGACCCCTTTAATGTATCATAAGATTTAAATAACATTTAAGGCCTTAGAGGGGCAAATGGGTAGAGTTAGGTGTCATTTTCGTGCTCAAACAGAGTATTTTTGGGCTTGGGTATCGATACTGGATGAACAGTACCGTTATTTTCCTTTAGATAACCTTAACAATGAGCTTTTGGATGAGAGTATTGATACTTGTTCGTTGGATATCGATACTATTCGTTAGATATTGGTACTTAAGGGTGGGGTATCGGTACCATTTTTAGATTTTGAATTCCAATAGCTCATTTCGGTATCGATACCCTAGTACTACAGTACCGATTCTCCCAATAGGGGTATCGATACTGACAAGTTCCTTCAAATTCCAGTAACCACTATTGGTATTGATACTCATGATGATATTGATACCCCAGTACAAAAGTATCGATACTCCAAGTAAGAGTGCATCGATACCGTCAAGCATTCCCAAATTTTAGAAATTAGTTTTAGTAATGATACTAAGGGAACTATCAATACTTGTCAATTAGTATCGATACTAAAGAGCTTAGCATCAATACCCTCGTCTTGGATTGGTTAAAGAACTCAATTTAATCAAGGAGTTCGGAAAGGGGTCTAATAACACTATAACTTCTATAATAAAACTACAAGTGAAAATAAGTAATAAATACAATTACAACTAGAAACGATATAAATTAGGATGACATAAAACTAGTCATTATGTGACAATCGGGAAACAATCAGGACACTAGAATTACTTTAGCAGTATGACGATCGTCTTGCATGTTTAGAATATCCGAGCATGACTCAGTCTAAGTAGGTTAGAGGGTATGCGTCTCGAGATGCAATAAACCCTCCGACCACACCATGATGCCTACCTCAGAATGTGTGTTTAGCTTACTTTTATGCTTCTGTCTTTGCTTGCTAATATGATCATGTAGTGAATGCATGTGGTATAGTTTAATTATTAGTGTAACACTAAGTTTGTGAGCTCAAGTTCAGAATTTGTTTCCCTACGCAGATTCTTAAGAGGAGCGTTGCAGAGATTATCGCACAATTGATTTTCTAGACTTTCTCAGAGCAACAGCAGAGTACGTCTTGTGTCATTTATTAGAGGTCGTAAACCTTCTTGCATTCAAGTTGTTACTCTATTTGGAATATTTAGTTAAATTAAAATTTTTACACTTTAATACCAAAATAAGAGAGTAAGATACTAAAACGAAACAAAAACTAAACATTAAATTTGATTTTGAAAAAATTAAAAATTTAAGTACCAAAACGAATCAAAACTGGTAGTTTAAGTACTAAACACATAATTTACCCTATAATCAAATTGAAAAACAGAAACTATATTTATATTTTACACATAATTTTGATCATTCTAAATCTTTATAATTTAGACATTTTTATCTTGAAAATTTTAAATTTAAAAAAATGTAAAAAAAAAAAACTAAAATTGATTCAAACTTGCATCTAATAAGTACAAGGATGCTTTGAAATGTAGCAAAAAACCCACATTGTTTCACTTAAGAAAAACTAAATTCATGAGAATCAAATATTATGATCTCAACATTAGATAGGAAGCATTCACTATTTACTAAGATAACCAAATTTGTAGAAGCTGTGAGAAAGCTCTGTTTGTGGACAAATAATACCCTTTCTTCTCCTTTACACCTTATCTGCAGGATAATTGGTCACATCCTGCTCATATGAACTTGCAAATATGTGCTGCATTTCTTAACATTGCTTCTTTTCTTCGATCCGGGCATCGAATACGAACCTCTACACGAACGCCGTTCGAGGTCTGGTGTTCTGCAAGAAACTCATGAAGGTTTAAGCCATCTCCGAAAACTCTCGGGATAAGAAGAGGGTTATGACGATACAAAGATTGCCATGTTGTATTCACCTTTCGTGCCGGTCTAGGGAAGAACACTAAATTATTGCGAAGACGATAAAAATCTATGGAACCGCTGTATTCTAGCCCGGCTATTGTATGAAGGTCTGTGTTGTGATGAATTTCTTCTACGATAAAAGAAGTCTTCGGTGTCCAACACGTAAGAAATCTGCCGACGGATTATGATTGTAAGAAAAATCAAGTTAAATATCAAGTGTATAAGCGATTTCTTAGTCAAATAATCCGAAGAAAAACAGAATGAAAGATAAAAAAAGCACAATACCCTGTAGGAGTTGCAAGCTATCTTGTTCTCTAAACCATTAACCAGTTCAACACCTTCCATGGCCAAGCAAGTAGCAGCAAATTCATCTAAACCTGCATACTTCCTCTTGTTTCTGCAAATATCAATAAAGAGACGCCGATCAGCACTAGTCTATGTTGTTCCGAAAATTCGTTTTTCTTTATGTACTTGTGTCTAACACTTATATAAGGATATGGGGATACGATCCTTTTTGAGTATCCCACTATTACATGAGAAGACTAATAAAAGTTCAATATACCCGCATCGGACACATTCATATCCGACACTTGCATCCAAGTTCGAGTAACTGGGATTTGCATTTCTTGTTTCTGAAAATATCAGTAGAGAAAAGCCTATTAGAATGTCTATATTTCAACAGCACTTAATTTTTTCTTGAAGCACTCATGTCCGACACCTATAACTGGAAAAGGATATGGGGGATATATATGATGCTTCAGAGGATCTTCCAATTGCATGCAAAAACTTCGGAAAAAAATTCGACATCCAGTGTTGGAAACGAAGACTCATATCCAACACACAACTGAATCGGGTAACATAAGCACAAGTTATCTAACAACGTATTGCAACTCTTTTCTTTGCTATACTTGTCTATAATAACAAATCAGAGGCTGGCAGAACCTACAGCATCAAAAATGCTACATTGTACTTTTACCACCAGAAATATTAATCACGAAACCACGACTCGGTTTAATCCTAATGCTATCTATTATTACCTCTCGAGTGTAAGGCCATGTGGCTCCTTCTTGCTGGGATAGACGGACAGAAAGTCATCGTGCAAAACGGCTGAAAAATTAGGTTCCATGGAAACGGCAAATGCTTCAGGCTTTTCAATGACGTTGTCCATCAGCTGAATAGACAAACGAGATGGCGAAGATGACTGCAAAAAATTTGGATCGACGTAAAGAATTATGCGTTGACATATGTAGGGCATTCATGTTCCTAATTCAGTTCATTTCTTATTCCCCAAAAAGAGTGTTATAGAGGGACATGTAAAACTAACATATTTCAATCGATATATATTCTCCTCGTGAAGGAGGACACGTGCATTCTCATAATACACTGAATCCATCGTCTTCCAATATTTTCGGGACTTCTCATAGTCAAACAATTGAAGAAGCTTATTATCCATCTCATCTGCTGCAACAGCTTGAAGCTGTAATGGAAATTAGATGTCAAAACAGTTGAACGAAAAACAAGGAAGAAATAATGAATGATCATTGAAGAAGCTAACCTGCTTAACCAATTTATATATCAACTTGTCCAATGTGAATAACACGTATGACTGGTTTCCTATTACAGCCCGGCATTCATCCTCGAACTTCGAATTATCGGTTGATCCATCAAGCAGACTGTAAAGTGCGCTCATAAACCTATGTAGCAGAGAGAAGAAATCTCCGAATTAGAAAGCAGTAGACCCTTCGAATTCAGCAGTTAAATCGATATTTTAATCCACCTGGCATATAAATCCGAAGAACTAGTGTCTTTTGGATGTTTCCTCTTTATTTCAGCAGCTCCTGTATTTGTTTTTGCCGACAGTATTCTTTCATACAGGATCTAAAAGAAGATCAAAGATTGAAGAATACTTATTAACATGTAGTGCGGAAAATGAAGAAATAACTAAAAAGCTTACGAAACCTTACGTACTTGATGAAGTCTGAAAAGAACGTAGAAATCGTCATTTGCATAAAAAGTCCAATAAATGTTTCGATCGTCTTTGGGTAAAACTGCCTGTGCATGCTTTGAAAGAGGCTTCGCCGTAAACAGGAAATGTTCTGAAAACAAGGACGTGCCATCTCCTCCCAGATGCATATCAGTCATCCCTTCAGCTTCGCCTTCACTCTCGGCCTTACCATCAACTTCATCATGTTCGACCTCTTCCTCCTCTTCATGCTCTTCACGAGAGCATTCGTCGGCCGCAGACTCACTGCCCGATGCATTATCGCCAGCCTCTGAGGCATTTTCACTATCCCCATCATCAGCATCCGCGTCATGTTCTCCACCAGCATCCACATAATGATGCGAGTCTTTCCCGTTTCCAGACTGGTGCTGTCTACTTTGAACACCATGTTGTGCCTTTGGCACAACCTTTGGACAAGTATCACCGTAAGCAACAAAATTATCTTCCTCAGAAACACCGGTAGGTGATAATTCACCTTCTTCTTTTTCGATTCTGAAGGGACCAGCGGATTCTTCGTGACATTTACTGGCATTAGAGTCATCCGTAGGTACTCCATTTACTAACAAAGCATGTTTAGCTACACCAACAGCCTGAATTACCAAGCAAAATTAAATAAATTTATTATGACTGAAAACTAAAGAAAAAACCAAACTGACTTCCGAAAATAACAAAATACCCAATTTGACTTAAGTCGTTTGGTTTGGTCGAACAACCAAATTAACTGAAATAAATGAGACAATCTGCCATTTTTTTCGAATATTTAAAATTACAACATTTTTTCTCTATATCTATAAAAATATTTTTTTTTGATAGGACATATATCTACAAAAATATAAATATATTTTCAAAATATATTTTATATTAAGTTGGTATATTTGGTCAGATAATTAACTATTATATATAAACCGAATCTTTAACCGACTAAAACTAACACCGAACTAAAATGAACTAAACAAATTGAATCAATGACTCAGTTTTACCAAAGTTCTGCAACCCACTTAGGTGTAAGCATTGGATACGAATGTGTCCAAATGGGAATCTACCCATTTTTTTCAAATATTTTCATGTATTTGGAGGATCCTTGGAGGGTCATACCCCACATCCATGTCGAAAATGTATTGAACACGAGTGCCATACACAAATACATAAATCAAAATAAAGAGTTGGAGCAACATAGGCAAAAGATGGTAATATTGCTATATTTTGACAAAAACATATAGTAATATCAACTTCAGCAATGCTAAGTAGAATACAGTAGTAGATATGCATTAATTCATACCTCCGAATAACGTACAGGGTCAGCATTAGCTTCCCGGGCCTCGCCACCAACACTACTAGTAGGTCTATAATCAGCCGCGCCTTTCCCTTGAAATTCAACTAATCTCAGTATAGCAACAAGATCCCAAAAAGGAGGAATAACAAGAATAAAAGTTATAGGGAAAACAAGATCAATGAACGAAACCACAGAAATGATGGTCATGTAACTTCCCCAACATACGCACCCGATGCCCCATCAAAATTGGTTCTGCTGTGATTGTTTTCTGCTTCCATTCCATTTGCATGCATGTGAATTCCACAGTTTTTATCAGTTGTAAATTTGATTTCTTTCTCTAGCTTTGAATCCTCTCTAGTGACACGATCCGAGTGTTCTCTAACTAAAGTTTCCCCATTTGCCAAACCACTCCTGCAAGAAACAGTTAGTTCTGGTGAACTCATCTTGTCTCCATCACCGGCAGCCTTTGTTTGCCCGGAATTTACAGTAGCATCAGCTCCAGGACTTCCATCACATTCAGCAATGCTAGAGGCAGTGCAGTTTAATGCAGGATTCTGAGCTTTGCCGGCACCATCAGTACCCTCTCTGCCACTTTGTCGAGGAGGAACACCCAACATGGGCTCCAGGAAAGTGGTCCAGAGCCTCATGACTCGATTTAACTGTTCTTTTGTTGAACACCCCTCTTCACATGAATATTCGATAAGTTTATACAGGTCCTCGTGAATGTTGACATCCGAATATTCGTATTCAAGGTGTGGAGAAACGGGTTGTCGGTGACCAGCAACGCTAGCCATAAGAACATTGTCTTCTTTCTGGTTCTTCTCTTTCAACTCCTTGATTTCAGCCAGTAAAGCTACAATAAGAAATGAAAGATCAATCAGGCTAAATAAAGTCATAAGACTACAGTCAACAGTTAATTACACCATATATTAGAACTAGGCCTGTCCAAGGGCCGAGTCTGGTATTTGGGAGGGAATGAACCGAAAAAATAGGTTTGTAAACGGGTTAGGGCAAGAAACCCCATTCTCTAAATGCCACCCTTGGGAAAAGAACTTCAAACCTGAACCTGGCCTGGCCAGGCTCAAGTATGAATATACTTGATATTTGTATTTTTTATTTATATGTAAAAAAATTTAACCTAAAGTTTAAACTCGAACGAAATCCTAAAACCCAACGTAAATCTATTATCAAAATACGAGATGTGTGCGGGTGTTGGTATCAATAGAGATCTACCTACAAGGGAAAATTAGATGACTCGACTTAACAGAACCTGTTAATCAAGTTTTTCATAAATATGCCTTCAAAATTATTGGCAAGGTTTGGTCAAAAGCTTGTGCCCATGTTTTCGGGCGGACCGAACCTGGTCATAAAAAGCTTTTTAATAACCTGTCAAAACCTAGTCCAGACCAGCCCATGAATAGGACCAATTAGAAAATGTTAAAAAATCGATCATTCTTTTAATTCGATTCCACTTACATTTCACACTCAAGTTCTTTGAATCCTGCTGCTTGAAATAGAAGCTGCGATGATCAAGTGATTTGTAATGGTTTTTTGAATAAATTTCAGCCCAAACCTTGTTGAAGTCTAGACGGCACTTTGTCCATTCTTCTTGCTTCTGCTTCAGGCGAATTAATATTACGGGTAATGCAAGAGCAGGATTTTTACGTAATATTTCCATTACATCAAGACCATGGTCACCGTACAGCCGCTCGATGCACCTCAAATTCAGAACTGCAGTAAGTGATGCACAAGAGGTACAAAGCTAAGGCGAAAAATGTTCGTACAAAGACCATATAATTTCAGAATCTTGAGATGAACACATACCAGTGAAGTGTTCTTCCGCGCGGAACGGAGAATCCATATTGATTTTATTTTCATTAATGCTGTTCAGCAAGTCCTCCGCACGCTTGGCTGTCGAGCTCACTGATTCTAACAACATATCCAGTTCAAACCTAAGACCATTGAAAAAGAACTCTGTCATTTCTTCAAAGGAGATAATATGTAGAACTTGGTTAAAATACCTTGAAATTCCCTGTACTAAAGGCCAAAGAACAAATTAGTCTCCCTACTATAAAAATGAGCAATTTACTAAATGCACATTTAATTTTGAAGCAACGAGGCAAAGCTTTAAATGGCATTAAATTTGGACATTAGAGAAAGCTGGCTGGCCTATCACATTTCAAAGTAACGTAAAAAAATGAAATTCAGTATTTCTAAAACATAACAATGACGAAATTGCTCATTTTTTCGGAACAAAAGTCAATATTTTTTAAAATTCAACCTTATCACAGTTTATAATTTTACCTATTTGCTTCAAAATTGAACGTACGAAGACTAAATTGATTACTTTGATAGTAGGAGTAAGGTGCTCATAAGCCCATAGGACAGGGACCTGTCCAATAGTATAACCCTAAAATTCCAAATGGCTTACATAAACAGAATAATTAACCAATGCACATCATTTTTTCTTCCGGAAACTCATTATCACCTTCGCATACCAAAATTAATGGGAACACTATTCTAATAAAAATTACGAAACGAGAAAACTAATCGCTAAGATGATTGCATACATAATACTTGGATAAATCGAGGAAGGTCAGGAAATTTTACCTATCATCCTCACATATGAACAAGCTCTCTTCATACTGATTTCGGCGCATGTGCTTAAAAGAATAATCCTCACTTCCTGAAGTGACGGATACCCAATAATCATTTAGCACTCGTGTGCCAAGCTCAGATCTCTGACTTGCTACAGGTATTGGGTACTGTCAGGGAGAAATGCCAAAGACTGTTATAACCAGTTCCAAATCTTGCATGCCAAAAAATTAAATAAATGAATTTCAGAAGTTTATACATCATCTGGTAGAAGCCGATAGCTTGGAGTACAAATTTGGCGGTTAGAAAGGTCAAGCTCTTGTATTGATTTTCCCATGTACTCCTTAAATCTCTCCTTTTCCTTAGCTCCCTTGATTTCGCGTTTTGGCTCTCTATCTTTTTCCTCTAATGGCCTGGACTCATGTCCGTCAACACTAAGTGATTCTGCAATACAAGAAGTAAGCCGTCATTGCAATTACGGATAAATAAGAAAATAATATGCACCATTTAAGACTAAACTATGTACATGTGTGTACATCGATAAACGAGAAAACAGCCAACAAAAAATAGAAAAATGTAAAACAAATGAAAAAGGAAGCTTACTTTTACTAATAACACCGGCAAGGAACCCATCTGCAAGAGTTATTTAAATTAGATTGGAAGCAGTCACATAAATAATCAGAATAAAACAACTTCAAATGATACATAAGCCATTACCAGTATCCTCACAACGCTCCAAGAACTGATTGAACTCAGTCATAAGATCTGGGTACTTGCCAAGTAAATCAGTCACCTAGGAATCAATGCAACATATAGTTAAACTACCATAAAAAGTAGAACATACCAAAAAAGGCAATTGAGTGATTCAAAAATTCGAATATGACTGCAATAGATGGTGTAAAACATACCAAATTTTGCAAATCGTTTCTTTTGATTATTCCATTGCTATATATATTAAGGCATTTTAAGAATGCCTGGTATTCGTCTGAGCTGCACAGCTTCTCCTTAACTTTCTCGCAGAATATAAAACCTTGGTTGAACATGCCTGAGGTTGGAATAGGAAAAAAAACAGAAATCTTAAAAGGTTGATACATGAAGAATGAGAAAATGTGCATTAAACCGAATCTCATTATACAAGGCTACTTTATTAACGGTAGATTGCAAAAGAACAGCAAAATTGTCACCCTACATGATGAGAGACTCACTTTTTGAAGTATCCCTATCTTCGTAAGTAGAAAATCCTTCAACCTTTCTTCCCGATCTCTTTTTGTCGGGAAAACGCTGCAAGTTAAAGTCCCTATTGTTTTCATGCTCGGGATCATCGTTATCACGAATTCTCAGATCCCTATCATCCTTTTCCATGTGTTTTCTCGGTTCTTTTTGCATTTTAATCATTGCTTTGTCATCATCCAATTCAGGACGGTCAACGCTGAGATCCCTACCAGCATGGGAAGTAAGAATTCTATCCCTCCGACGTTGCTGAAAAAAGAAAGAATTGTTGTTTCATATCGCAAAGATGTCAAAATATAGCAAGTAAATAAATATTAAAAAATGGGAGAGAGCAGTTACCTTATCCATTTGTGTGTAGCGCAAGGTGGGTGTAGCAGAGCTTCGCTCATTATAACGTTGAGTTGAGGTTCGACCATATGGAACTTGTTGTGTCATAGGTGCTGCTGATGAATCTGGTAAAAATATTGTGAACTCCTCAAGAAGATCAGGATGGTCTTCGAAAAGAGAAGCAACCTGAAACAAAGAACATGTCAAATTTTCCGTGGTGGGGAGGGGTATTCAAGAGATTAGGATTCAGTAGCTACAAATGATTATTTTACCTCGGTATAAACCTCATTTATGTCCTTGTGCTCCTTCCGGTACATATTCAATATATCAAGAAATGATTTATAGACATGCTCATCATGTTGGAAACGTTTCTGCACCAGAAACGGAGAAATTAGACGGTTAAACATGGATAATGGTAAGCGAAAGATTATGGAACAATAGTTTTAGTAGTCCACCTTTATCTTCTTTACAAAACTGATTGCTTCGTCAAATTCAACTGTCTTTTTCGGAGCCTCGTCCTCATCAAGGGTAATTCCATAGCCCCTCGGCAGGAATGTATTAAATCCATAAATCAAGTTGTTATGCCCTTTGAATAACTCTTTCACTCGGGCAATGACACCGACAGTGTCAGTCCTGCATAAGACAAAATATGTACCGAACATTAGTAGTTTAAAACAACCCACAATTTATTTTCCGATAACAAAGCACAAGATCCGAAAACAGGATACCTTTGAGCCTTGAAATCCTTCATGACTTCAAGGAACATGTCATACTTCTCTTTTTGATCCCGAAACATCTCCTTGACTTCCTTTAGATACGTTAAGGCATCGTTTGTAGTCAGTTTCTGCAACATACTTCCTGCTCCTCCTCCCCCGCCTCCACCTCCACCTTCCCCTCCTCCTGCACCACCACTTCCACCGGGTATTTGGTTTTGTCCATAGCTTAATAGGTAAAAATAATAAAAGAAAATTCAGACCCACAGCTACTCGAACAATACAAGAATAAGGAAACTCCGAAAAAATTGAGCTAAACCTAATTTACTTCCAACAGATCATTCCTCTCAAAAGAACCACAAATCTCATTTACTTGGAAGTGAATTTACCAACTATTAAAGAACCAAGTGTCAAATCTTAATCTTACTTAATGCAACGATCCAGCAACAAGAAACACCAATACGACTCAAGCCAAACATGGGAAAAAACCGAAACCGTAAACGAATCAATCGGTTCGAAGCGATAAACAAAACAATCCCACATGCAAATCCAAAAAAATAAATTCCCAGTCACTCTGATCAAAGAAGAATAACCATCAAAGCTGACAACAATAACTAAGCAACAATCAAAAGAAAAAGAAACAACCAGGTTAACAAAAACAGCCAAACTTCCATGAAAACCCTAAACAGAGGGAGCAAGCAAATATATTATAAAAGCAGAGGAAAGAAGAAGAAGAAGAAAAGCTTACGATTCAGCCTTAGAAGAACTGAATGGACGTTTAAATTGAGAACCAGGATACGTATCATCTCTTGCTCGCTTCATCCCTGTAAACCCGAAAACAAAAATTGAATTATCTCGACAAAAGATTCATCTTTGAAGAAACAGAAATAAACCCATTTGAGAGATTAGATTGAAGAAACTTACTCTGCAGATCTTACACCAAGGGAAACACAAAAGGAACTAAACCACTTTAACCTTTTGTCCCCTGATCCTTCGTGTTTACTAATGTTATGTTTCTCTTTTTGGTTCGGTCATGTAAGAGAGAGAGTGTGTCGAAGAGACATGATGCTAAAAGAAATGAAAAGAGAGTCAAAATCCAAAGGAGAAAAACTGAAAGGAAGAAGAAGAATTAAAGATGGTGTTTTGAAAACCGGAGAAATGCACACACGAGAGGAGATGGCTTATTCATCGTGCTGTGTGTTGTTCTTTGTTTGTTTTTATGGTGTCCTACTTAAATGGGCCTTTTTTTAGTGCCAAATTCAAGTATAGGTCCAATGATTTTTCAATTGATCTAATTCACTACTTTTTTTTTGAATAGGAGTGGCTACTTAAATTGTGTATGTATGTATGTATATATAGGTTAAGATTAAAAATTTTACCTTTTTTTAGTAACTTGAATCGAGGAAAATTAATAGTTGAGATTAATTCTTTATTTTATTTTTAGTGAATATCTTTTCTTTTATTACTATTTATCTTATCCTCTGGTTTCTTCTTATCCAACGATCTCAAATTCAAAATCTTAAACCCTAAATCCTAACCCTAAAGCATAAATTCTAAAACTCAAAACCCAAACTCTAAAATTTAAATCTTAAACCCTAAGTCTTAAACTCTAACCCTCAAAGAAAAAAATTAGTTTGTCGTGAGTCATATAAATATTTATTTATGGACTATAAATTTTAGTTAAATCTAAGTCATTTATTTATTTAAATTTAATGGCTATAAATTGATGTAAAACTTATTAGTTTTACACAGTGTAAACGGATTATAACTTATATATATATATATATATATATATATATATATATATATCCACTTGCACCCTTTATAAATTAAAAATTTTATACTTTTTTAGCACCATTGAATGGAAGGATATCAACTGTTAATCTCAGCCTTTTATTTCTCTCATCTCGTGGTCCTAAAAATATATAAAAATATTAGTTTTACATTGGGTGTATACGGATGAACTGAATTTTTTTATAATTTATTTTATACTCTTAAAATTTTATAATTTCATTACCCTAATTTTTTAATATACTTCTTAAAATGTTATACCCATACATAAATCCTTACTTGTATCCCTACTTTTAACTACTGCATCAAATATCTCAGTTCAATTTAATTTAATTTGTCATTCGGATTAAATTTCTGTTTAATAAAATTATTTTTATTTTATTTAAATAAATGATTATCTGCTAAAAAAATAACTAGTCTTTCTAATTTTGTAAATTAATTTTAAAGATTCAGGGTGTAAATTATTTTATTTAATTATAAATATTTTAATAAAAAAATAAGTAATCGACCCACATGCATAAATTGTGGATCCTATTTAATTTAATTTTTGAAATTTAGGTTTATTTTTACTTTAAAATAATCAGTTTGCTTACCAGCGGAACATAAAAATGAAAAATATTATAATTTAGATTCTTTAGTTTTTTTAAAATTAATTTAATGCCCTAAAAATTTTAAAAATTCAGCTTAATTGCTTAAATTTTAAAATTTTTGAATTTTCATAATTAAATTCTCTCCCATAATTTTAAAAATTCCCATCAAGTCTCTCAAAATTTCAAAAGTTTTAGGTAGATTGTAATTTTTTGAAAAATATAAACTAAACCCTTGAAAAGTTTTGAAAATTTTAATTTAAACTTCTGAATTTTTTAAAGTTTAAGTTGGCCCGCTAAATTCTATCACCTAGCTCCGACAATGTTTCTTACTCTTTACTTCTAGTTCGACATCGGAGACTACATGATATTTGAACGTTCATTGTCAAATAATTGAGAATTATTATAATAGATGCTACCACTTTAAGCATTCTAGATTAAAAAAAAGTAAGCTTTGAATTAAAAATTGTTGAGCTTTACATGGAAGTTATAGAGACGTTGGTCATAAATATGATATTTAATGTAGTTATTTAAATGAGAAAAGGAGAGAAGATTTTAAGCATATTTAATAATTTAAATATTATATAAATAAAAAATATAATGAAAATACGAATAATGCGAATTATTATTGAGCTGATAAGCAGGAATTTAAAATAGTTAAGTTCAACTTAGATTCAAAATAAGAAATTAGAACTCAACTTAAATTTTTTTTAAAAAACTCAAATTTTAACGTAAATTGTATTATATATATATATAATTAAAATTTATACAATATTGTTTCGATACCATTTTTAAGATACAAATCCATAACCTCATAATGACATTGGTACCTTAAGGAGGTATCGATACCCCTGAAGGGAAGTATCGATATTGTAGTGGTAGTACCGATACTCCTAGGCATGAACGAAAAGTTAGTGTTTCTTTCATCATAAGTTATTCTGATTGGATATAAGCGATTCAAAGAACGATATTGATTTTCGATTTGTTTTGTGTAGTGGTTGAACGTAATCAACTTTCGGTCAGCTAGACATATTAAGTATTGAATCAAAAGTGTTAAGGATTTAGCTTAAGACTTCAGTGAGGTAAAAGTAAGTGCAACTTCTCGGTTTTGTAACAGAATTGAGGAAGGTTTGTGATAAACCAACCTCAGTGTTTTCGATCGAAAACTTTATAATTTCTTTTATGTTATATTGCAATGTTTTATTCAATTTATATTATATAAGCTATGTTTTATGATTATATGATTAAGGAAATGTGAACTTTGAACAAGGGAATGTGAAAAGACTATGTGAAAGTAACTCTGTGAATAAGAGACACTTCGAATAATAATTGAAAATAATTATGTGATTAATAGTCCAAGGTATATGTATGAGAATTAGAGGTATAGTTGACATGTCAAGAGTCTTATGTGGTTCTCCGGGACAATTATGTGGTCATTCGGGACAAATATGTGGCACTTCGGTATAAACCTAAGTGGTCATTCGGGACAATTATGTGGCACTTCGGTGCAAATTACGAGCTGTGGTGACATCATTAGTGCACAACCTCAATGTACTCAAATACCCAGAGTTCTCAGTATTATATATTGGGCATTTCGAACAAAGTTAAATAAAGAGAATAATATACATAAGTATATCTTTCTGATTGGAAAAATAAGTTGAAATGTTTTATATAATGTTTCGATAAAAACCAATGAAGATTTCGTTTATTATGTTAACACTATTAATAATTGCCTCACTAAGTCATCGACTTAGCGTGTGATTTCCTCACGCGTAGGTTTGAAGAAAGCGGAAGACTGATTGGTTGAGGATATCATGCCACTTGAAGATCAAATCAGGACAAATTAAATGTAGGTTTTTGTCAATTTTGTAAACTGTTGGCATGTATTATACATTTAATTTGAAATGCTCTGATATGTAATATCTCAAAATCAGGGTTATTGACTAAATAGAATTTTTGAAACTTTAAAGTGTGATTTTAAAAGATTAAAAAGTTCAGGGACTTAATTGGCAATATTTTGTGTAGGATGGTCTAGTAAATAATTGATGGAGTAAGGGGTATAATGGTCATTTGGAAAGAAAGATTTTTATTTTCCCCTTATAAGAGAAGTACCACGTGGATAAGGAAGAAAAGAAATAAAGAAAGAAAGCTATGGAGTTATCTTCTTCCTCATCTCCACCGTGACACCATAGCTAAGGTAAGTTGGTCTCAAGTTGGTTAATTCTTTCGTTTTTAAGTTGGTTTTGATTCTTAGGGTGATAGAAAAGCTTAAGGAAAGCTTAAGATTTCTTAAAACTTAAAGAGGATTAAGTTATGTGAGATTGAAAGAAAAGAATTTTTAAAGGAATTCTTGAGATTGGATTAGTAAATAAGTTTTGAAGTGAAAATTGACTTGTCACCAGCTAAACTAAGAAATTCAAAATGATAAAAATGAATTTGGAACATAAATATGTACCGATACATCAATAGTAAAATGTAGAAAAATATTCAAAGTGTATCGATACATAGGAAGTGTATCGATACACCCCTTGTAACAAAAAAATCAAAAGTAATTTGTGTATCGATACATAGGTAGTGTATCGATACACGCGTTAAGGAATGTACCGATACATTATAGTGTGTACCCGATACACTTATAAAGGAAAATGGAAATAATCTTTCTTTTAATTTAAGAAATGAAAGATTTGAGTATGCCAAATGGAATATTGAAATGTATAAATGTATGATTGCGTAGATAGCGATTGAGAGTAATGTTTGGACAAGTTTTCAAGTAATAATCATCGAGAACAGATAAGAGATCGGTATTGACTAGTGAGGCCAGGTGAGTGCACATTATTTAGTATATGATGTTCAATGAGAAATAAGACTTACGATAAGTCTATTCATAATAGTAAAATGCATGAATTCATACATAGAAGTATGTTTTTGTTATGATTTATATGTATGCATGAGTATATGTATGTTACATGATTTGTATAAATATATGTTAGTGTGATAATTGATCATGTGAAATAATACAAATGATCTATATGATTATATAAGAATATGAAATAAGATATGTGACAAAGACATAAAGAATAAAAGGAACATGTGACATAGGCTATAAGTTAAAGAATTATTCGATATATATATGTGTGTGTGTGTGTGTGTGTGAACATAAGATAATCAAGTATAAGTTATATTATATGGTATAAGAGATTATACAAGAAATGTTATAAAACTTTATGAGAAAAGTATGAAAATTAGGGTGCATAAATATACATGATGATACCAAATTATAAGATAAACATTTACTTGTAGTATAATATGAGAATAAGATAAAAAAGTGAGTTCATGAGGAATGACATGAGTTAGGTAAACATGTGTAAAGGTTTATAAATAATAGGAATATGAGCTAGACAAGTATATGTTTATATAATCAGTTATGTAAACTAGTACAATATAATTAAATGATTAAATGAGAAGTGATATAAGCTAAATAAGAGTGATCTATAAGATAATATGAGGAATAGTATATCAATTAGGAGAATTGAAATAAGTAATAATACAAACATATAAGATAAGTTATATTGAGAAAGTTTATGTGCTTAATAAAATGGTTACATGTGAATTATATATATATATATATATATAACCATATGAGAAGTTTATAGGATCTATAAGAAATGTAATTAAATAAATATATTAAACTAGTCTATAAATAAAATAATAGAAGTGATATATATGCATAAGTATGACATAGGCTACGTGATTTGTATAAATATAAGAGAGTGAAATATAAATTATAGGATATGATATAAGTTATTATAT